ATCTTCGCTTTCATTCGATATTTCGTCAGCTTTATATTTTTTCTTCTTTTTCTTATGTTTCTTTTCTTTTTCATCCTCATCGCTTTCATTCGATATTTCGTCAGATTTATGTTTTTTCTTCTTTTTCTTATGTTTTTTCTCTTTTTCATCCTCATCACTTTCATTCTTGAGTGATCGTTTCTTCTTTTTTCGGGAACTAGTTGGTCCAATGAACGATTCATCCTCGAATGATAACGTTCCTTTCATATTTTGGTTCTTGCTCTTTGATGAACTAGATTCTGATTTGGTTTTCACTATTTCAGCAGAAGATATATCCCCACCTGCACGATCTGATTTCTTCTTAAACATTGGTCTAAACGGTGTAGCACTAACATCTTCATCTATATTATGTGAAATAGGTGTTGGTGGTTTGTCTTTGATCGTATCTTGAGGCTCCGAATCGCCAATTACTAGATTTGGGGGCTATATGGATATGGATAAGAAAAAAAGAGGTCAATATGAAATTGATATTTTAAAAAGCCTTAAAATGGTGCATATATGAAAATATACTTTTTTATGTTTTGGAGCGTCTTCATCATCGTCTTCTGAGCCTGAATCACCAAAAATGGATTTAAATAATTCCATCGCAGGGCGTGTATACGGTTTTTGATCAATAACATCTAGTTGGCTAGATTCATCAGGTGCAGGTTCAGGTTCAGGTTCAGGTTCAGGTTCCCGACTCGTATCAGATACAGAAGATTGACTGTAAATACTACTGGACACAGTTGTGCTAATTCCTGGGAAACTTTGCGCGTCTTGCTTATTGAGAATTTCATTCATCGTCTCTTTGCTGAGCGCTTCTTTCTGACCCTTTTGGGTCTTACCAGAGGTTGAATTTTGTACATGATCTGGATGCGGATTTGCTACGTTAAATCGTTTACACAGAAGTCTGCTTGGATAAAACATTAATTTTGTTCTCGTAAGTGGACCAAACATATTCATTCTTGCCGCAGCCTCTGCGGTTGATTCATTGCTAATTTGACTTGTGTCTTTCTGCTTAATTGGGGTAATATTTAAATCATCTCCAGCACCAGCGCCGGATCTTAGACCAGGAGTAGGCTGTTTGAATTCTTCAGCAGGTGCTGTACTAGTAACGAACCGTGATGCAATCATTTTTGACATTGGACGAAATATTCTTGCCGCTTGAGCAAATTCATCTAGCTCTTTTGAAAATTCATCTACAGTTAATTCCTACAATAATGATATAAAAATTTTAATAATTGGTGTATAAAATACAAGATTTAATTAAATAATATGACTTTTTAACAAACCTCGGGTTGTTTTAACAATTCAGGAGCTATTAACTCTGCATGAATTTCTAAATATTTTTTGTATCTCGCTTGTTTTTTCTTATTATCCTCGAAAGGAATGAACCCTTTCAAAGCAGCCAAAGCAACATCTTTTTCTATCTTTGGAAGTTTAACTTCAGGAGGTTTATTAGTGTTTTTGTCACCTAATGTATCAATTACTGGTCGAATTATACTATCTAGTCTTTCTTTATCTTTTCGAGACACATAATCAAATACAGAACGTGCAGGTGCATTTAAAGGCGTTTCACCTAGTAATGCGCCACGCTATAATATGAAAATCCTATTTATTAGCACAATAAATAATTTTGAATATAACGCATATTCTCATTATACTCAACAATTACCTGTTCCGCAACAATCGCCAATGTAGTCTGTTTTGGTTTTATATTTTTTTTATTTGCATCTTGGACATATTGGTTTTCAGTGTCAAACTCATGAAGAGGAACGTATTCTGGAGGTAGCTCTGGTGGACTGAACCTGTAATGACAAAATAATTCATTGAATAATTCAAACGAACCCATAAACAAACAAGAATAATAACTTATTACACCAATTACCATTTGTCAATAGGAAGAGGTTTCCTGGCTAACATAAACCCTTGTAATGGTTTAGTCCCATCATGACATAACTTATTATCTAGAAATAATGACTAATAAAAATTTTTTTTTATTTAATATATTATTTTCTAAAGAATAGAATT